TGGAAAATTTATACCCCTACGGTGCCACCGTAGGGGTATAAACTTTCCAGCCGCCCTGGGACAGGCGCCCCCGACAGCGAAAAAGTTTATTCTCTTGCACAGGGTGTCTAGAGCTCCGACCACTTTATTTCGGCGTCGTCGCCCCCCCCCCCTCCCCAGCTGCCCAGTGCTGGTGCTGGTGCTGGTGCTGGTGCTGGTGCCGCTGCTGGTGCTGCTGGTGCTGGTGCTGGTGCTGGTGCTGGTGCTGGTGCCCGCTGCTGGTCCGCCCCGACCACTTTATTTCGGCGTCGTCGCCCTCCCCCCTCCCCAGCTGCCCAGTGCCCTTCGGCGTCGCACAGCCCCTTCCGCCCCGACTACTTTATTTCGGCGTCGTCGCCCCCCTTCCCCCTCCCCAGCTGCCCAGTGCCCCTCGGCGTCGTCGCACCGCCCCCTCCGCCCCGACCACTTTATTTCGGCGTCGTCGCCCCCCCCCCCTCCCCAGCTGCCCCGTGCCCTTCGGCGTCGCACCGCCCCCTCCGCCCCGACCGCTTTATTCGGCACGGCACCGTCGTCGCTCCCTCCCGCCCCCCCGCCGCCCCGATGCCCGCGCCTTCGACGTCGCCCCGCCACCCCCTCGCCCCGATCACTTTATTTCGGCGTCGTCGCCCCCCCGCCCCTCCCCAGCTGCCCAGTGCCACTTCGGCGTCGCACCGCCCCCTCCGCCCCGACCACTTTATTTCGGCGTCGTCGCCCCCCCCCTCCCCAGCTGCCCAGTGCCCTTCGGCGTCGCACCGCCCCCTCCGCCCCGACCACTTTATTTCGGCGTCGTCGCCCCCCCACCCCCCCCTCCGTAGCTGCCCAGTGCCCTTCGGCGTCGCGCCGCCCCCTCCGCCCCGACCACTTTATTTCGGCGTCGTCGCTCCCCCCCCCTCCCTCCCCAGCTGCCCAGTGCCCTTCGGCGTCGCACCGCCCCCTCCGCCCCGACCACTTTATTTCGGCGTCGTCGCCCCCCCCCCTCTCCCCACTCTCACCAGCATCCCAGCACACCGCCCCCTCCGCCCCGATCGCCTTATTCTCTTGCACAGCTGTGCTCTAGAGCTCGGACATCTTTATTTTCGTCGTTCGTCGTGTCGTTCGCCCCCCTCGCTCCCCCCCCTGTCCACGCTTCCCAGGGTAGCCCCCCTGGGCCACGGAACCCTTTATTTTCGTCGTTCGTCGCGTCGTTCGCCCCCCTCGCCCCCCCCCGCCACCCCCCCCCCCCTGTCCACGCTTCCCAGGGTGCCCCTCGCCCCCTACCCTGTCCACGCTTCCCAGGGTAGCCCCCCTGGGCCACGGAACCCTTTACTTTCGTCGTTCGTCGCGTCGTTCGTCCCCCTCGCCCCCTCCCCGTCCCCCTCGCCCCCCCCTTGTCCACGCTTCCCAGGGTGGCCCCCCGGCTCCCGGGGAACCGCTGAGGCACTCTTGGCCGATGCCTAGAAACAAAACCAGGCCAGGCCCCAGAAATCGTCGTCGTCGTCCTCCTCCTCCTCCTCCGCTTTCTTCCTGGATCCTCCTAAACCCCTCCTGGAAGAAGGAGGCGAGGGCCTCCTGTCCTTCGCAGCTCCTTTGTGCAAGAGCCAGGGCACGCGTGCCACTTGTTTTATACTGTTCTTCGCTCGCTGAATGTGGGGGCGCCCGTTTGGAATTCGCCGTCGGATTTCTCAGATGGCCTGGAAATTGAGCCACAAGGGCCTCGGGGAACCGGTTTCCTGAGGATGCGACGCGAGGGCGCGCCGGATTTCCCAGATTGCCAAGAAACGGAATGGAAGGTCCTCTGAGGGCCTCCTTGGGGCGGCTCGGGGGGCCGGTTGTCTGAGGACGTCTCGCGCGAAAGCGCCGGCTTGGAATTCGTCGCCAGAGTTCCCGGATTTCCCGGAAACGGAGCAGGGGGGGCGGTTGGCGGGCCCATTCCCTCGCACGCAGGCGGTCAGGACGGCGTGAGCTCTCAAGATTAACTCTATCAGTCTAGGGCCAAGGCCGGGAATTGAGAAATGCATATGCGCCTTATCTTTAACGATGTTGCATCTTGGCTGCGGCCCGTCTGAGGAGGTCCCAGGATGCGCGCGGGTTGCGTAGGGTCGGAAAAAGGCAATACGCACTGCGGAGCATACCCCCAGTGGCCAGCAGTTCTGGAGCACTCTCAGGGAGAACCATCGGAAGCCTCTTGGAGGTGGCTCGTGTGGGCGTCTTGGGGCTTCTCGGGGGCCTCTTGGGGCCTGATTTGGCTCTCTGGGGGGCCTCCTGGGACTGTGGGGGACCTCTTGGGGGCCAGCTGGCGGTCAATGGGGGTCATCTTGGGAAGGGCGTGGAATGTCAGGCCGATTTCCCCTTCTTGGATGATGATGTTCCAGACAACCTGAGCCTTGATCACCAGAAAGAATTTCGAGCCCCAAGGAAGGTCCGAGACTGGATGGTTTTTACGTGTCGGGCCCTGGGAGGCGATGCTCGTTCGACACTGTTTCGATATTTTTTGGGTGCTCGGAATTCTTTCTGGGATTGGTCCTTAAGTACGATGAGAGCAACATAATTCTTGGAAATCTTTTGGACCGTCCTGGGGGGCCGCTTGGGCGGTCTTAGGGCCCTCTTGGGCCGCCTAGGGGTCCTCTTGGGGGCCTATTGGCCGTATTGGGGCGATCTTGGGGGCCCCTTGGGCCGTCTCGGAGCGTCGGAAGCCCGAAAAGGCGAGAGCGTCAAATAAGTGAAACACCTAGAAAGGATATCACGGATTTTGGCGTCTCAGGGCTGTCTTGAGGCCCTGTTCAACTGTCTGTCTGAAAGCCAAATTGGCGACCTCTTGGGCCGTCTGGAGGCGTCTCAGAGCCCGCCAAGGCCAATCTTGGGGCACACTTGGGCCCGCTGGGAGCCCTCTTGGGCGCCTGTTGGGCCGTGTCGGGGCGATCTTGGGCGCTTCCTGGGTCGGCGCGAAGCGCAGGAAGCCCGAGAAGGCGAACGTCAAAATCAATGAACTGTCGAAGGCAACTCACCTCTTGGGGCCCTCGTGGGGGGCCTCTTGGAGCCCTCTTGGGCCGCCTCGGGGCGCTGCTGGGCTGCCTGAAGGCCACACCGGCGACCTCTCGGGCCATCTGCAGGCGTCTCGGGCCACCTTGTACCATCTCGGAGCACGCTGGGGCCCGCCGTGGCCGATGTGGGCCACTCGATGCAGCCACCCTTCTGGCACGCGCCGCTCCCAGTCATAGTAGTGAAGGTCAGTGTGTTCCCGTGGACCAGCGTCCACGGGATCTTGCTCGCATGCACGGATGAAGATCGCGTGTCTGCTTATGGAATGTCCTGCGCGCGTGGCTGCTGGCCCTGCTGCAGTAGGGGCTCGACCAGAAGTTCCACAAGAAACCCAAACCTGAGACCCCAGGACGTCCATTGATTCTTGGTGTGGCAACGTGAAGCTTTCCATCGCAGAACCATCGAAACCCAAGAAACCCAGGGCACCCTGGAGGCAAGCAGGGTGTTTCTTGGCATGGGTTTCCACTGTAGCCAACAAGCGTTCTCCCCGACGATTCTGCTTGCATGCTGGCCGGCGTGCCTTATACCATGTTTGCCTGTCTGCCTGCTTCATTCCCGGCGTGTCTGTTCGCTGCCGCTTTCTGCCGCTTGCTGCTGTTTCTGCTCAGTTTTAGCGTTGCTGTCTGGAACTGCGGCTGCTACTGCCTGTTTGCTGGTGCAGGCTTCTGCTGCTGCGGCTTGTTGCTTCTGCTTGCCGATTTGCGTTATTGCCGATAATGCGCGCTGCCGCTGTTTGCTGCCTCTTGTGGCTCTGCCGCTTGTGCTGATGATGGCTACTGCCTGTTCTGCTTGCGCGCTGTCCTGCTTGGTGGTAGCCTGGCGACTTGCTTACCTGCTTGCATGCTGGCCTAACTTCTTGCGTGCCTCCTTCCGTGTGTGGGACCTCCGCTGCCCTCTCCTTCGGCAGCTCGCACCGGCTGCCTGCCTTCCGGTGCAGCGGTTCTCGGCGCCCGAGGGAGGCCGCCTGCGCACTCCTCGTGGCGAAGCTTCTCTACGCCTGAGGCTTCCCCCGCGCTCCCCCCTTCGCGGCCGCCCTCGTCGGTTCCACTTGTCTAGTGTGCCTTTGCCCGCCGCGGCCCGCTGGCTGACCGAACGCGCTGGCGTCAACCTTCGCCACTGACAAAAAAACGCTTGCTTCAGTGCTTGCTCATCCGCTCGCTGCCGCTTACCCTTGCTTTGCTGCTTCCTGCTGATGTTTGCTGTGTCTTTCCTCTGCTGCCACCCGTTGTTGACTGGTGTGGGCTGACTGGTGTGGGCTGCTGATTCCTGCATGCTGCCGCCTGGTGCTGGTGATGTGAACGCGTGCTGCTGCAGTGCTGCTGCTGCTGCTGCTGCTGCTGCTGCTGCTGCTACCCGCTGCTGCTGCAGGATGCTGCTGCCTGCTGATCGTGCTCGCTGATGTTGCCTCGTGCTGTTGCTGCTGCTGTTGCCCGCTGCTGATTTCTGCTGCTAGCTGCTCATGGCTGCCGCTGCTGGCTTTGCGAATGCCGAGTCTATCTGGGGGCCGTGTTGGTGCACTCTGGGGCTGTTGGTGCACTCTTGGGGCCGTGCTCGGACGTTCCGGCGCCCTCCAGGGGCCATAACCTGAGATCGGTCCGGGGCCGAGTGGAGGCGACGCTCGGGAGGCGCCTGGGCACCTGGGCAGACGCGCCGACGTCCGAGTGCTGCTTGAAGTGGTCCTGGCCCCAAAGCGTCCCCAGCTTTTCGCGCCGTTCTGAAGCCCAAGAGGCCCTCTGGGACAGTGAACAGTGGAGGCCTCCTTGAACATCCTGGGGGCATCTTGGGCAATGGACTCTTCTGTCAACACCCTATGTGACCTTCTCGAACGCGGGTTGCCCAGTATTGTTGTGCAGAAGGCGTCGGGCTCCAGCTTCGCATCCCACATCTCGCCGAGCAGCGCCAGAGCCCGCCGCCACTGCTCCCCCTTCTCGCACGCGCTGATCCCAGCGCTGTAGATAATGACGTCAGGCTCCAGCTTCGCATCCCACATCTCGCTGAGCAGAGCCAAAGCCCGCTGCCACTGCGCGCCCTTCTCGCACGCACTGATCCCAGCGGTGTAGCTGACCAGGGCTGCCCTGTGGACTTACGTCCACAACAGCTTGCTCGGACACAAGGATTAGGATCGCATGGCTGCATACCTGCTTTCGTGTCCTGCGCGCATGGCTGCTACCCTTCTGGCCTGACAGTTTTCTCCCTGAAGTTCCTGTTCGCATACTGGTCAGCATATCTGGTATGGGGCTTGCCTGCTTGCTTGGCTGATGGCTGCTTCATCGTTTGCTTGCCCGCTCGCTGCCGCCTACTGCCGCATGCTGATGCGTGGTCCTGTTTGGTCTTAGTTGCCGCTGTTTGGAGCTTCTGCTGCAACTGCTTGTTTGCTGTTGCACGCGACTGCTTGCTGCGGCTTGCTGCTGCCGCTTGCTGCCTAACGCTTATGCTCTTGATGCGTGCTGCCGCGACTCATTGCTTCTTGCCGCTACTACCTGCTAGTGGAGGCTGAAATTGCTTTCTGCTAGTTCTGCTTTCGTTGCTGTTAGCATGTGTGTCCGACATGTTGCTTGCATACCTACCTTCTTGTATGCTGGCGTGCTTGCCTGATTTCTTGGGTGCTTGCTTCATTGGATTCACTTGCTCCCACTTGCTGCGGGATGCTATTGCTCAATGTTGTTTGATGCTAATTGCTGCTGTTTGCTGTTTCTTGTTTCTGCTGCTGCCAACTGCTGACTGGTGCTGCAACCTGCTTGCTGCGATTTCGTGCTGCTGATTACTGTTGCTTGGTGCTGTCTGTTGATGCTTGACGCGTGCTGCTTGGCGCATGTGATACGAACGCGTGCTGATGCTGCTGCGTTGCTGCTGCTCGGCGATGCTGCTGCCTACTGGTGCTGACTTCTGCTGATGTCTGCTGCTGCTGACTGCTCATGGGCGCCGCTGCTGGCTCTGCTGCTACTGGATCTGGGGGTCGTGCTGGGGCACGCCTGGGCCGTCTTGCGGGCGTCTTGGCGCCTTCGTGAGGCCATCCTGGGCCGTCTCGCGGCTCTCCGTGGCGCCTCTTGTGCCGTCGTGGCGCCCCTCTGGAAGCTCTCTGCTGACGCCGTGGGCTCTCTGGGAGCCGTCTGTTGGCCATCCTGGGGCTCTCTCGGGGCAGTCCTCGGAACCTGACGGGGCGCCCGGAAGCCTTCCTGGGGCTGTCCGGGAGCCATGCCGTCTTGGAGGCGCGCCGGGGCACTCCGAGGCCAGGCCGGGCACTGCTGGATGAGGGTGGAGGCGAGCCTTCCGGAGGCCCTCGAGGGGGGCCCTTTGGAGCGCGTTAGGCCCATCTCGGGGGCCTGTATGGCCGTGTGGGACGCTTCGAGAACGGAAAGCACGAGCATGCCAAAGATGTGCGTTTTCCTGTGTGATCTGAGCGGTTTTTGCTTCTCGGGGCCGTCTGAGGACTCCTCCTCGGAGCCCTCTTGGAGCGTCTCGGACCGGCCTCGCGTGTCGCTTGGGGGCTGCCTCGGACTCGGACGTCTTGCAGCGCTCTCGGACCGGCTCGGAATCCTCTCGAAGGCCTCTTGGGACCCCTTGGCCGCCACAAGCGTCGCGGCGCGGGTGTCTGGGGAAGGTCTGGGGGCTCTGAGGGCGCCCTTGGGGGACGTCTGGGCGCTGGAGGAGCTATCCCGACAGCGCCCTCTTCAGACGCACGTATGTCTGCAGTGTGAGAGAGGTGACATCGGGCTCCAACTTCGCCCCCCGCATCTCCCTGATTAGCAGTATGGCCGTCTGCCACTGCGCCGCCTTCTGGCAAGCGCTGATCCCAGCACTGTAGCTTCTGACGCTGGGCTCTATCTGTGCCCCCGACATCCCACTGAGCAGCGACAGTGCCCGCTGCCATTGCCCGCCTTTTCCGCATGCGCTGATCCCAGCGTTGTAGGTGATCACGCTGGCCTCCAACTTCCCCTCATGCACCTCGCGGAGTAGCTGCAATGCTGCACTCCAATGTTTGGCCCGAGCACACTTCTTGATTGCCACTTCGAGGGAGACAGCGCCTCCTGCAGATCCTCGCCATATGTCCAGCATCCAAAGCTCTCGTGCTACGCTTAGCTGCTCGCTCAGGGAGCCTTCCTGGAGCCACTCGCTCCACTCATGCGTATATGCTGCGTCGAGCGTCCGTCGACTTGAGTCGGATTTGCATCGAGCTAGAGTCGAGCTAGAGTCGAACAATAATCGAACAATATCCGAGCTAGAGTCGAACAAGTCCATCAGTCGGGCCCCAGGAAGACCTCCCCCCCACAGCGAACATCCAACCACACGAGTGACGACAAAAGGAGACGGGTCTTCCGCGAGATGGCGCAGCGACCTCGCGCGGTGGCTCACGCGGGCCACCGGCGCACCACGCCACACTGGAAACGAGGGCGCCTACGCGCGACCTCGCACGGGCAGCTTCCGCGCGAACGTCGGCGCATCCGAGATCGTCTCCTTTCGCCTCTCGCACGGCGCCGCGGCGGCCGGAGCCCGCTGCTGCCCGAGCCGGAGCGCCTCGAGCCGACACCGCGGCCATGGCGGCCCTGAGGCAGCACCGCGCCCCTTCGGCCCGCGGGCCTCCCGGGAAGTCCGCCTCCCGCCGACCGCGCGCCCCCCGCGGCCGCTCCCTCGGCCCTCGCGCGGGGCCGGCCGCGGCGGGCGTTGCGGTCGGCAACTTCCGGCTGTCGCGGCCGAGGGCCGCGGCGACGCGCTGCAACCCTGCGGGCGGGACAGCGCGTCGCTCCGCTTCCGCGGGGCGGGAGAGGCTCTCGGAGAGGCTCGGGACGTGGACGCCCGGGGTCCCGGGAGGAGGCTCGCGCGTCCTGCCGAAGCGCGAGGGGCCAGCGTCGGCGGAGAGACGGGCGGTCCCGAAGTGCCCGACCGCGCCCGCCAGGGACTCGCCCTCGACCCTCCGGGGCCGAGGGGAGGTATGTAAAATTCTCTGCCGTTTTTGGTCCTTGATTGGCCTTCGGAGGCCTCCAGAGTGGGCCCTGGAAACGATAAGGCCGTTTTTTTTTACGGGTTTCGTTTTGCCGTTTTTTTGCCGGTTCCGACGCCGTTTTTTTACCGGTTCCATCGCCGTTTTTTGACCGGTTCCGGCTCCGGTTCCAATCCTGGAGCCGTTTTTTTGCCGTTTCCGGTCTCCGTTTTTTGCCGTTTCCATTTTCAAGGGGCATTTTTTGGAAACGGTGAAAAAACGGCCCTGCCGTTTTCGGGGCCCACAAAGCTCCAGAGGCCTCCGGGGGCTTCGGGGGGTCAGGAGCAAATCTGGCCAGCTGTGCCCAGCCTCCTGGTGCCGGGTTGGGTGCGCCGCAAAAGGGCGGCCAGGAGGGGGGGGGTCGGCGCATCACGGCTTGAGGCATGTGCGAGGACGAGGGCGGGCCAGGTGACGAGCTGGAAGAAGAGGAGGAGGCCCTGGACACGGTCAAACCACCCCCCTGAATCCTCACCCCCCTTTTGGACGCCGCCGAGTCTGCGCTCTGTGATGCTTCCTCGTGGCGCCTGCCAGGAAAATCACTCCTCCATTCTTGCAAGGGTCTGTGACTTATTGGTATGGGACCCCCGTGATTCGTCCTCTTGGCCAAACTTGAGCGCCCATGGCGAGCACCACATGCGCTCGTTCTCTCGTTACCCGCCGCCTCCACATCCTCCTCGTCCTCCTCCCCAGACCCATGTGTTTGTTGTTTCGAAAACGCCTGCGGCGAGGAACATGACGTGGGACGATGATAAAATGATGCATTTTCAGGCGATCGCGGCAATGCCACCATTGGAGAGCTCTGGGGTGGACGTGGACTGATTTACCTCGGGGTCCGTGTCTGCTCCTCCCTCCTCCTCCTCCTCCTCCTCCTCCTCCTCCTCCTCCTCCTCCTCCACCTCCTTCCTCCTCCTCCCTCCTCCTCCTCCTCCTCCTCCTCCTCCTCCTCCTCCTCCTCCTCCTCCTTCTCTTCGTGCGGGGGTGCTCCCAGGACTCGGCGGCCCTCGGCAGCCGCAGCGACAAGCGCCTCCTCGTTCCCAGACCGCCGACGTCGTGATTGTCTCGGCCGACTCCTGGAGACCTCGACCACTTCGGTTTTTCGCCCCTGGCGGCTCCTTGACGGTCCCCAGGCCCGACGGGGGCCCCCCCAAGCGTCAGAAGTTGCCCGAAACCTTCCGCCGCGACTCTTCCGCGACGCGGGGAGGTCTGGGCTCCCGTGCCTGCCGTCGCCAAGCGCCGCGCCCCCCCCCCCCTTCTTGGCGCATCCCAGTTTTCTCGGGCCGTGCTCTCTCTGGTGGCCGTTCGCGGCGACCTTGGGCACCCCCGAGAGCGCTCTCGGCGAGGCGCAGCTGTCGGGAGGGGCATCCCGAGGAGGCCGGAAAACCGCGAAGGACAACCTCAGATATTGCACCCTGCAGTCGTAGCGCTACCAGAAGGAATGCCAAAGGGGCCCCCGAGAGGCGCCCCGAGAGGCGCCCCCAAGAGGCCCCCAAGAGGCCCCAAGAGGCCCAGACACGGCCCCCGAGGGGCCTCAAAGCTGCCTCCCAGGGGCCCCCAAGAGACCCCAACGCGGCGCCCCGCGGCGAAGGACATGGGCCGGCGGAAGGAGCGAAACGACTACAAAAGAAACGAAGGAGCTTTCTTCCTCCTCCTCTTCATCCTCCGCCCTCCCTCTCTCCGCCCTCCTCCGCCCTCCTCCTCCGCCCTCCTCCTCCTCCTCCTCCTCCTCATCGCCCTCCTCCACCCTCCCTCCGCCCTCTTCCTTCCTCCTCCTCCGTCCTCCCTCCGCGTCCTCCTCCTCTCCTCCTCCTCCTCATCCCTCCTCCTCCTCCCCTCCTCCTCGCCTCCGCCCTCCTCACCTCCTCCTCCTCCTCCTCCTCCTCCTCCTCCTCATCCTCCTCCTTCTCCCCTTCCTCCTCCTCCTCCTCCTCCTCCTCCTCCTCCTCCTCATCCTCCTCTGGGGAGCTGGCCACGGCGAGCCTCGGCCACGAACGGGCTCCCCTTCCCAGACCTGCATCCCAAGGAGCGGCCCGCAGACCAGAGCCCCTCCTCTGAACCCACCCAAACCCAGAGATCCAGCGTACTGAAAAAATCAAGACGGAGGTTTTTCGCTATTTTCGGCCTCTGGGGGCCCTTACCAGCCCTCGGGACCGGCAAGAAACGACTCGGGATGAAAAACCGGTCCCGGCGAATGGGTCCGGACCTCTGGGGGTCGCGCCATGAAAAAATCATGACGTCGGGGGTCTGGGAAGTGGTCCTTGTGTCAACGTCTTGACGGTACCGTTGCCCCAGTACAGCGGTTGTCGGTGCCCGAGGCCGCCTGTGCGCGCTTCGAGGCGCAGGCTCTCTACGCCCGAGGCCTCTGGCCTGCTTCCTCCTCCGCGGCCGCCCTCCTCTTTCCCAGCTGCCCCCGTGTGCCAACGGCCCAGCGCGGCCCGCCGGCTGCTTGAACGCGCTGGCGTCGGCTCCCGCTGCTAACAAAACGTATCGTTGCCCCCCTCCGCCCCCCCCCACAGCTGCCCCGATACGCATCACGCAATCCGAGGCGTGTTGACACGGAGCTCAGCACGCATATCCAAAACGCAAGTCTGGCGCGACACACTCGGCACAGCACAGGCCAACCCGCGGAATCGACACGCAGCGTGCTTGACCTGGACGATTTTGGGGAAACCACGAGGTACCGATACCGCTACTCCCTGGACCTCCCCGAGGGTGCGTTCTGACCAGAATTTCGAGAAGAACCCAGCGGTGGCGACGAGGGCCTCCCAGCAGGCCCGCAAAGAGGCAAAGCGGGCGGAGGGTAGCGGCATTGGGTACGTTTTTCCTCCTCCGACCAGAAGGAGCTCCTGGCAGTGCGGGCTGCGCCTCCACACGGGCGCATCGGGGCGGCCAAGTGACCCCCAGCCCGCGCAGGCTGGCGGGGGTCGACGACCCTCAGAACGTGCGTCAGCGCCAGCGTGTGTTTGTCCACCGAGGCCCTTCAATACAACGCAGGCGGCGCAACGAGAGCCGACACAGGCTGCGCGCTATCGGTGGAACCGAACGGGGTAAACACACACGCCTGGGCTAACACACGTCCTGAGGATCATCGAGGGGGGCCGCGGCCTCGTCCGCAGCGCGCCGCGCACGCCGAGCGGCGCCCCGCCCGTGCCGCGGCCGCCGCGGGGCGCCCCTGGGGCGCAGCCGCGCTCGCCGGCGGGGCCGCGGCGCACCTGCGCGGAGCGCCGCGGGGGGGTGGCTCCAGCTCGCCTCTGCCTCCTCGTCCTCGTCCTCGTCCTTGTCCTCGTCCTCGTCGTCGTCGTTGTCGTCGTCGTCGTCGTCGTCGTCGTCGTCGTCGTCGTCGTCGTCGTCCTCCCTCGTCCCCCTCCTCCTCCCCCTCCTCCTCCTCCTCCTCCTCCTCCTCCTCCTCCTCCTCCTCCTCCTCCTAGGTGATCCGTCGTCGGCCCTGTGATCCGCTAGGCCTCAAAGCGTGAGTGCGGCTTGGAGCGATGCTGGAGTCAGTGCCAGTTTGGGAGGCGGCATGCCCCACGCTTACAGTGCGCTGGGTCGCACTGTAGTGCGAGGGCGACACGCAGCGGTCGGGCGTGGAACCTTGCTGGCCACAGGGTGACGGCTGCGTGCGTCCAGGGCGAGCGTGCCCGCCGGAGGACCACAGGCCGGCGGGCAACGGCAGCACGGGCAAGGGAGGCCAGAGGCGGGCAACAGCAGCGCGGGGGGAGGGGCGAAGATCGGGTCGGGCGAAAGGGGGGGATAGCAAAGGGGGGGTTCGAGAATCAGCTCACGTAGCTGATTTTCCTGGCGCCTCCCGTCGCCAGAGGCGGCTATGTATCGAGGAATGGACCCCTCGGCGAGGCCGAAACCAGCTGCATGCAGCAACCCCCTTTCCCAATCCCCCCCTTTCGTCCGGGCCGAAAGGAAGGCGAAAGGAAGAAGCAGAAAGGGAGGGGATCTAAGCTGCTGCCCCGCGCCTGGGCAAGCGCTACTGGGTGCCCTCTGAACACGTGGGCGCGCTGAGGACTGTTGGCTGACTGCGTGCGCCAATGTGCGTGCAAGATGCGGCTGGCCGGTGGCGCAAGACGTG